TAAATTTTTAGTCCAAATATATTTGCTTATCCCCTCCAAAAAATTGATGACGTCAGCTCAGAAGTTTGCCGTATAATCCTATTTAAAATTTACAAAATATGATGAGTCTCTTCTTGTAATGTATCATTCCATTCATATTTTTTGGATTCGGATATACAGGGTGACTCAAAAAATTTAATGAATGCGCAAATTTATTTTATTGATTTAATCAGGAACTACAAAACCGAATGCTTTGAAATCTAATGTGAAAAAAAACATAATAGGCATGCAGTCGTCACGTTTCCGATAGCGAGGGAAGTACTGTCTAAACTCTTTAGACCGATTTTTTTGATTTTCCCATTTTTCCATTTCTCAATTTTTCAATGTTTCAGTTTGGGATTTTTTCACTGTTTCGATTCTTTAATTTTCCTTCCATTTTTAGGTTTTTCAATATTTCAGCTTTGGAATTTTGCAATATTTCGTTTCTTCAATTTTTCTAATTTTTGATATTGTGTTTTCTCGGTTTTTAAATTTTTCGATATTTTCATTTTTCAGTTTTTAAAGTTTTAGGTTTTTAGATTTCTCACTATCTCGACTTTTCGATTTTTCATTTCCATGATTTTTCAATTTGTCGAATTTTTAAATTTTAGATTTTTCAGGTTTAGATTTTTTTTGTTGTTCAATTCTTGGATTTTTAAAATTTTTGTTTTTTAAATTTTCCTATTTATCAACTTACTGGGATTTCAATGTTTTGATTTTTTGATTGTTCAATTTCTCGATTTTTTGAATTTTCAGTTTTTGATACGATTTTTTTTTCAAAAATTTTTAGTTTTTCAATTTATTAACTTTACGATATTTCAGTTTTACGATTTTTAAATTTTTTTATTTTTCAGTTTTCAATTTTTGACGTTTCAAAATTTTTCGATTTTTCAATTTTTCGATTAACTGATTTTTTGATTTTCCCATTTCTCCATTTCTCGATTTTTCAATTCTTTCTTCAATTGTGAGTTTTCAATTTTTCAATTTCTGAATTTTTCTATGTTTCAGTTTTGGATTTTTTCACTTTTCCGATTCTTCAATTTTTTTTCCATTTTTCAGTTTTTCAAGATTTCAGTTTTGAATTTTTTCACTTTTTCGATATTTCAATTTTCCTTCCATTTTTCAATTTTTCAGTATTTCAGTTCTGAGATTTTGCAATGTTTCGGTTCTTCAATTTTTCCATTTTTTGATGTTTTTAATTTTTCAATTTTTAAGTTCTAGATTTTCCGTAAATTTTTTTGTTTTCCTTGATGTTTTGATTTCTCGATTATTCGATTTTTCAAGTTCTCGCTTTAGATTTTTGTTTTTTCAATTCTTCGATTTTTAAATTGTTTAATTTTTAGATTGTTCAATTTCTCGATTTACCGATTTTTTTCATTTAAAATGTTTCAATTTTTCAATTATTAAGTTTTCGATTTTTCAATTTTGGTGTAATTTGAAAACGGTATTAATAATACGTTTAGGCGAATAAACTAATAGAGGGGCTTGATAAGCCTTGTTTGCTCAGTGTCTAAATTGTGTTTGAATAATATAATAATTATCTCGAATATTAAAATAATCAGGTAGATTTAAAGAAGAATTGCTGGTTGCGTTTAAGGCAACAAATGGCGCCCAATTCAAACTTGTCTCCCGTCTAGCGTTCCCCCTTAACTTCCTCACACTATGTTTTGAGAAAAACGCAAAAAGCTGTCACTCATTTGTAAGTCCTTTAACGTAAAGTTCTTATTTTTGATTTGATGATTTATACTAAGTATTTTAAGTCGAAACAACAACAAACACCAAATGCTTCGTTGTTCAAATGGTGAAATTACAAATGTGAAAATGGAGTTGTCATGCTTTGGTGCCAACCTGTGGATTTATCGCAGTCTGAGTGTCAAGGGTAGGGATCTGTCGTAATTTGAAACTGATAAAACAAATATGTAAAATGATTAATAAATAAATATTTATTTTATTAGGAGTTTAAATGATACTTTATGTGCCAATATGGACCTCTCATTCAATGAAGCTTAAATTTTGCACAGATTAACAGTTGTAACCCAAAATTTACAAAAAGTGGATTTAAACAGGTTTTGATTCTAAACGACTCCTTTGTTTATTGGAAGTAAAACTAGATTTGGACAAAAATAAAATGGATTTAATTATATTTACATTTATATTAGAAAATTACAAACTAACTCTATCAAAGAACAAAGTATCTCTTATACCTAGACTTCAACTTTCTCTACATGCACCCCGTTCTTCCAAAGTTTTCTTTCTTATTTTGCGTTGTTCTTTCTTAAGATGTATTCGAACCCGAAACAAAGAAAATAGCTTTAAAAAATTTTAATTTGACATTATAACAAACTGGCAATTTAAAACTTGCAATTTAGTGATCAAGTTTCATTTCGTGTAAATACAGACTTTAAATCAACATTTTGTTCACGAATTACCTTCTTTAAATTTTCAAAAATTGTTTCCATAGTTAAAAACAAATTAAATACAAGTTCTGTTGGATATGTTAATGAATTAACTTTAAATTCTCTTAAATAAACGAATTCCGTATAAGACCTAGAACATTTTTTGGTAATAATTGCTTGTAGACAATTAACAAACTTTAAATTTCGTCTAATTCTTGCCAAAATATAGCCAGCAACATTATACAAACAATTTTGTGTCACAATCCAAAATGCTAAACAAAACAACAGTCTTTTTCATAGTCTTTAAAATCTTTAACGTTTAAATTTAAATAATAAAAAGTTTTATGTAATATACCTGGGTAGAATTTGATATGCTCTATTTTCCGACGTAAAGATAGCAATAAATAGTTTAATTTTAATAAAGATTCATAGCCTAAAGAACCGCAACACTTTTTGCATTTATACCATTTAACGTCTGTGTTTGAATGTTCAAATCACATTCTTTTTACTTCCCGAGCGTAAGCAAAGGAAGTATTGTAATCGAGTCCGTCGGCCGACTCTCTACTTTTACGTTTTCTCGATCTTTCATGACCCCTAGAAGACGAAGAAATAGGTCTCCCATTTCCGTCTGTCTGTCCGTCTGTCCGTCTGTCCGTCCGTCCGTCTGTCCGTCTGTCCGTCTGTCCGTCTGTTGTCACGGATTTTTATTAGACAGATAATCTCCGAAAGTACTCGACCGATTGTTGTGAAATTTTGTACTTATATTAAGAATATGATGTAGATGGTAAAACGCTAACCAAAATTTGTCGAATCATCCCCACCACTAAAGCGATGACGTCACTTCAAAATTGTACATAGTAAATGGGTTTTCAATTGTATAAAATAACATAGTCCTACACATGTAGTTTACAACTCTGAATCGACTTTTCACCCGAAACGTCCAGATTTTTGGAAAAAAAATCAAAATTATAAAACAACATTTTGAAATTTAATTTTTAATCTGCTAACCAGAATGCTTTGAAATGTTGCAGATGTTTTAAGGCTATAAAGAGCATCATAAATCTTTAGTCAAAAAATATTTGCTTATCCCCTCCAAAAACTTGATGACGTCAGCTCAAAAGTTTGTGGAATAAATCATATCTAAAATGTACAAAATATGATGAGTCTGTACTTGTGAACTATCACTCCATTAATATTTTTTGGATTTGCATATACAGGGTGACTCAAAAAAATTAATGAATGCGTAAATATATTTTATTGATTTAATCAGGAACTACAAAACCGAATGCTCTGAAATCTTGCAGATGTTTTAAGGTCATAAAGAGCATAATAAATGTTTAGTCAAAATATATTTGCTTATCCCCTCCAAAAACTTGATGACGTCAGCTCGAAAGTTTGCCGAATAAATCATATCTAAAATGTACAAAATATGATGAGCCTGTACTTGTCATTTATCACTCCATTCATATTTTTTGGATTTGCATATACAAAGTGACTCAAAAAAATTAATGAATGCGTAAATTTATTTTATTGATTTAATCAGGAACTACAAAACCGAATGCTTTGAAATCTTGCAGATGTTTTAAGGTTATAAAGAGCATAATAAATTTTTAGTCAAAATATATTTGGTTATCTTCTACAAAAAACTGATGACGTCAGCTCAAAAGTTTTCCGAATAAATCGCATCTAAAATGTACAAAATATGATGAGTCTGTACTTGTGATTTATCATTCCATTCATATTTTTGGATTTGCATATGCAGGGTGACTCAAAAAAATTAATGAAGGCGTGAATTTATTTTATCGATTTAATCAGGAATTACAAAACCGAATGCTTTGAAATCTTGGGAATATTTTAAAGTTATTATAAGCATGGTAAACTTTTGTTCAAAATGTATTTGTTCATCCCTCCTAAAAAAATTGATGACGTCACCCTTAAATTTTGCTGAATAAATCCTATCTAAAATGCAAAAAATATGATGAGTTTGTACTTGTGATTTATCATTCCATTCATATTTTTTAGATTTTCTTAAGAGGTGGTTCAAAAAAATTAATGAAGTCAATTTATTTTATTGATTAAATTAAAGGCAACACTTATTATTAGTATTACACCCCAACCAACCCAATTTGGTAGACACAAAATTTGTTAAAGGAAAAACTCGGTTGAAACATAAGGGTAGCACGCTTATTTACATCGACTTTAACATTACATACCTGCATTTGTTTTATGCGGTCACTTGGTTCCGCGAATGCGAAATAGACATGTTTATAATCAACCAATTGTGAATTTCACCCTCAAGAATTAAAATAAAACCCAATGTTTTATATAATAAGCGGAAGTCGAAGCAATAAAACCGACGGTCGTTTTGTTTACAGTTTCTGTGTTTGGCTCTCACGTATGCTGTTACGCCTGTCATCTTAAATTAACAATGTTTATACATACACGATTTTTAGTTGCCTCTGATACGTAGGTATACGTGAGTAAATTGTTTCGTTATTTTATTGATTATTACAAATCAATATTCAAACGACCCAATTCATTTTCCCGAAAATTTGAGAATATAATAATTTTATTCTTAGTATTACACTACATCTATCCCAACTGATATACGTGTCCTTGCAAAAATGTTGATGACGTCATCGCAATTTTTTTTTAAATTCCCACTACAAAAATGTAATGAGAAAAAAAACACAATAGGCATGCAGTCGTCAAGTTTCCGACAGCGAGGGAAGTACTGTCTAAACTCTTTAGACCAATTTTTTTATAATGGGCTCATCCAAATGACACGTCGCTGTGTGCTGCTCCAAATTCCCCTTCTGTTCAACTTTAAAATCGCACTTATCACATTTAAACCACTTGATATCCCGCTCATTCAAATGATGGGTGATTACATGCTGTTTTAAATTAGAATTTCTTTTGGTTTTATACGGGCACTTTTGACATTCATACCATTTAATATCTTTTTCTTCCAAGTGGCGTGCATTTACGTGACTTTTCAAGTTAGTCCGGTATTTAGCTTGGTATGGACATTTGCTGCACTTGAACCACTTAACATACTTGTCGTCCAAATGTCGCGCATTCAGGTGTCTATTCAAACTCGACCTTAGCTTGGCTTTGTACGGACACTTATCACATTCATACCACTCTCTCAATGGTCGTTTGAGCTTATGTTCGCTAATGTGTTGTTTGAAGAGAATGGTTAAGCCTGTTTGGAAACGGCAATCCCTGCAATAGTAGGTTTCGATTGCTGTGGTGCAGTCGAAAGGGGGTAGGGCTGTCCGGTGGCGTTTGACGTGGTTGAGCAGGGAGAACGTTGATGATGTGAAATATAGGCATTTTTTGCAACGGATGTTTGTTGGTGAACCTTTCAAATCAATGATGAACCTCGAAGAGTACTCCAGGATTGACATTTTGGTTCCTAATTGAGTACATACCGAATTAATATAGGAATTTGGTGTTTTTATATTTTCTTACCTAACAGAAGTGTGGTGTGATACAACACTTCACAGTCGAAGAAAATTCTACAATTTCACTTATATTTATTGATTTATTGTTGCTATTTTGAAAGGGAAACATCCTCAACACACCAACATAACCTCAAAAAATTAAGATGGTTGAAATCTACGCAACCCACAATACAGTGGCAATAATCGCTGATAGTTTAGAGAATACAAAAGAAAAACTTATAAATACACCAACATATTATTTGTTTTTTATTTATTTTCCTAGCATAGGTTGCACTTTTAAACTGTAAATGATGAAAATGCTGCACAAAATTTGTTTCTTCATTCCCAACAACAACAAATTCGTCCTTATTTTGTATTCAGACAACTACGGCGTGATTAGAAATGACTTTTGGCGACCCTGGATTTTTAGTTGAGACTGGTATCACATTGGTATCATATTTTCTATAATTTCTGGTTGTCAGTTATCAAGACTGACAGTATGCGTACCTTTTTAATTTGAAAAATGTATCCAAAAAAACTTAATTTTAGTCAAAATTTGTCTGTTTATTCCTGCAAAAAGCTGGTGACGTTATTTCAAAATTTTGTTAGATTTACTCTCCTTTCAAAGTTATAAAATGATATATTTCTGTACTTGTGGTTTATTAATCCGTCCTTATTTCATATTTCAGGCGTCTGGATTTCCGGAAAAAAATCCAAATTGTGCACAAGAAAATTTGAAATTTATGTTTGAAATCGGAATCTTGGAAACGATTTGGGATTATCGTAACATGAAAAATTGTTTGTCAAAATTTATCTGTGTATTCTTTGCAAAAAATTGGTGACGTCTTCTCAAAATTTTGTTAAGTTTACAGTCTTCAAAGTAATAAAAAAATCTATCTTTGTACTTGTGGTTTATTAATCCGTCCTTATTTTTAATTTCAGACATCTGGAAATAAATAACAAATTGTACAAGAAAATTTGAAAGTTATTTTAGAAAATTCAAAACCAACTTTAAGATTATCGTAAACATGAAAAATTGCTAGTCAAAATTTATTTGTTTATCACCTGCAGAAAACTGATGACGTCACCTAAAAATATTGTTCGTGTTATCCTGCTTAATGTTATAGAATAATATATTTCTGTATTTGTGATTTATTAATCCGTTCTTAATTTATCTTTCAGATAACCAGATTTCTCGAACAAAAAATCGAAATTTTACAAGAAAATTTAAAATTGATTTTGGAAAATTCAAAACCGACTACTTTGAAATTTTGCAAACGCTTTAAAAATGAACATGAAAAATCGTTGGTCAAAATTGATCTGTTTATCCCCTGCAGATAAAACTAATGACGTAATCTCAAAATTTTGTTCGTTTTATTCTTAAAGTTATAAAATATTTCTACACTTGTGGTTTGTCAATCCGTTCTTATTTTTAATTGTAGATACGAGATTTTTGAAAAGAAATTCCAAATTGTACAAGAAAATTTGAAATTTATTTTAGAAAATTCAAAATCAACTTTAAGATTAACGTAAACATGAAAAATCGCTAGTCAAAATTTATTTGTTTATTCCCTACAGAAAACTGATGACGTCACCTAAAAATATTGTTCGTGTTATCCTGCTTAAATTTATAAAATAATATATTTCTGTACTTGTGATTTATTAATTCATTCTTAATTTATAGTTCAGATAACCAGATTTCTCGAAAAAAAAATCGAAATTATACAAGAAAATTTAATTGATTTCGGAAAATTTAAAACCAATTATTTCGAAATTTTGAAAACGTTTTAAAAATGAACATGAAAAATCGTTGGTCTGTTTATTCCCTGCAGAAAAAACTAATGACGTCATCTCAAAATTTTGTTCGGTTTATTCTTCAAGTCATAAAATATTGCTATACTTGTGGTTTATTAATCCGTCCTGATTTTTAATTGTAGACACTAGATTTTTGAAGAGAAATTCCAAATTGTACAAGAAAATTTGAAATTTATTTTAGAAAATTCAAAACCCACTTTAAGATTATCGTAAACATAAAAAATCGCTAGTCAAAATGTATTTGTTTATCCCCTGCAGAAAATTGATGACGTCACCTAAAAATATTGTTCGTGTTATCCTGCTTAAATTTATAAAATAATATATTTCTGTACTTGTGATTTATTAATCCTTTCTTAATTCATCTTTCATATAACTAGATTTCTGGAAAAAAAAATCGAAATTATACAAGAAAATTTAAAATTGATTTTGGAAGATTCAAAACCGACCACTTTGAAATTTGGAAACGCTTTAAAAATGAACATGAAAAATCGTTGGTCAAACTTGATCTGTTTATCACCAGCAGAAAAAACTAATGATGTCATCTCAAAATTTTGTTCGGTTTATTCTTCAAGTTATAAAATATTTCTATATTTGTGGTTTGTTAATCCGTCCTGATTTTTAATTGTAGACACTAGATTTTTGAAAAGAAATTCCAAATTTTACAAGAAAATTGTAAATTTATTTTAGAAAATTCAAAATCAACTTTAAGATTATTGTAAACATGAAAAATCGTTAGTCAAAATTTATTTGTTTATCCCCTGCAGAAAACTGATGACGTCACCTAAAAATATTATTCGTGTTATCCTGCTTAAAAGTTATAAAATAATATATATCTGTACTTGTGATCTAATAATCCGTTCTTAATTTATATTTCAGATTTGTAGATTTCTCGAAAAAAAAAATCAAAATTATACAAGAAAATTTAAAATTGATTCTGGAAAATTCAAAAACGACTACTTCGAAATTTTGCAAACGCTTTAAAAATGAACATGAACAATCGTTGGTCAAAACTGATCTGTTTATCCTCTGCAGAAAAAACCCATGACGTAATCTCAAAATTTGTTGGTTTTATTCTTCAAGTTATAAAATATTTCTATACTTGTGGTTTATTAATCCGTTCTTATTTTTAATTGTAGAAACTAGATTTTTGGAAAGAAATTCCAAACGGTACAAGAAAATTTGAAATTTATTTAAAAAAATTCAAAACCAACTTTAAGATTATCGTAAACATGAAAAATCGCTAGTAAAAATGTATTTGTTTAATAAAAATTGCTGCTTAAAATTTATTTGTTTATCCCCTGCAAAAAACTGATGACGTCACCTAAAAATATTGTTCGTGTTATCCTGCTTAAATTTATAAAATAATATATTTCTGTACTTGTGGTTTATTAATCCGTTCTTAATTTATATTTCAGATAACCAGATTTCTCGAAAAAAAAATCGAAATTATACAAGAAAATTTTGATTTTGGAAAATTCAAAACCGACTACTTCGAAATTTGGAAACGCTTTAAGAATGAACATGAAAAATCGTAGGTCAAAATTGATCTCTTTATCCTCTGCAGAAAAAACTAATGACGTCATCTCAAACTTCTGTTGGTTTTATTCTTCAAGTTATAAAATATTGCTATACTTGTGGTTTATTAATACGTCCTGATTTTTAATTGTAGACACTAGATTTTTGGAAAGAAATTCCAAACGGTACAAGAAAATTTGAAATTTATTTAAAAAAATTCAAAACCAACTTGAAGATTATCGTAAACATGAAAAATCGCTAGTAAAAATGTATTTGTTTAATAAAAATTGCTGCTTAAAATTTATTTGTTTATCCCCTGCAAAAAACTGATGACGTCACCTAAAAATATTGTTCGTGTTATCCTGCTTAAATTTATAAAATAATATATTTCTGTACTTGTGGTTTATTAATCCGTTCTTAATTTATATTTCAGATAACCAGATTTCTCGAAAAAAAAAATCGAAATTATACAAGAAAATTTTGATTTTGGAAAATTCAAAACCGACTACTTCGAAATTTGGAGACGCTTTAAGAATGAACATGAAAAATCGTAGGTCAAAATTGATCTCTTTATCCTCTGCAGAAAAAACTAATGACGTCATCTCAAACTTCTGTTGGTTTTATTCTTCAAGTTATAAAATATTGCTATACTTGTGGTTTATTAATACGTCCTGATTTTTAATTGTAGACACTAGATTTTTGGAAAAAAATTCCAAATGGTATAAGAAAATTTGAAATTTATTTTAGAAAATTCAAAACCAACTTTAAGAATATCGTAAACATGAAAAATTGCTGGTTAAAATTTAATTGTTTATCCCCTGCAGAAAACTGATGACGTCACCTAAAAATATTGTTCGTGTTATCCTGCTTAAAGTTATAAAATAATATATTTCTGTACTTGTGATTTATTAATCCGTTCTTAATTTATATTTCAGATTTGTAGATTTCTCGAAAAAAAAATCCAAATTGTACAGGAAAATTTAAAATTGATTTTGGAAAATTCAAAACCGACTACTTTGAAATTTTGCAAACGCTTTAAGATTGAACATGAAAAATCGTTGGTCAAAATTGATCTGTTTATCCCCTGCAGAAAAATCTAATGACGTCATCTCAAAATTTTGTTCGGTTTATTCTTCAATTTATAAAATATTGCTATACTTGTGGTTTATTAATCCGTCCTTATTTTTAATCGTAGACAATAGATTTTTGAAAAGAAATTCCAAATTGTACAAGAAAGTTTGAAATTTATTTAAAAAAATTCAAAACCAACTTTAAGAATATCGTAAACATGAAAAATCGCTAGTCAAAATTTATTAGTTTATCCCCTGCAGAAAAAACTAATGACGTCATCTCAAAATTTTGTTCATTTTAGTCTTCAAGTTATAAAATATTTCTATACTTGTAGTTTATTAATCCGTCCTTATTTTTAATTGTAGACACTAGATTTTTCAACAGAAATTCCAAATTGTACAAGAAAATTTGAAATTTATTTTAGAAAATTCAGTACCCACTTTAAGATTATCGTAAATATGAAAAATCGTTAGTCAAAATTTATTTGTTTATTCCCTACAGAAAACTGATGACGTCACCCAAAAATATTGTTGGGTGGGCGGGGCTTGTAGCTGCCAAGATACGACTGATTTTGGCAAATGAAATACCTTCTAAAAAAAGTGAGGGCGGGTGGGCGGGGCTAGTACCTGGTATGATGTAACTGATTTTGGCAAATGATATACCTTCTAAGAAAAGTGAGGGTGGGTGGGCGGGGCTAGTAGCTGGCAAGATAAGATTGATTTTGGCAAATTAATAAGATATTTCTGTACTTGTGATTTATTAGTCCGTTCTTAATTTATATTTCAGATATCCAGATGTTTCGAAAAAAAAATCCAAAACTGACTGCTTCAAAATCCTACCAAAATTACAAAATATAGCATGAACAAGTTGGTATCAACAAATTTTGTATCAGATTGGTAGAACTGTCTGTCACCCCATGGTTGATAGTGACATTAAATTTAAAGCAAGAAATGTTATTGATTATTGTTAAAATGTCGTGATAGCGGCAGTCATTTGGATCAGGTTCGGCAATACTACGGCAAGAAAATTTTTTCAGAACTGGTTAATTACATCTCCAACTGAAACCCTACTTTTAACTACGTATTTTTGGAAAAGAATGATAATTGTACGATAAAATTTTAGAATTTGTCTTGACTAAACCAAATGTTCCCAAATTTAGTTTCTACATGCTTTAAGGTTATTATCGGTCTGATATATTACTAATCGAAATTTCCCTAGCTCCCTCCCACTAAAACTTTGGTGACGTCACCTCAAAATTTGCTAAATAAACAATGCCTTCAAATATGTGAAATAGTGTGGTTTTCATGGAAAATGTATTAGATTGATATATACCGGATGTCTGGAAAATGGCGGATAAACTCTTCAGTACGTTATGTCTTGTACTCGGGTGTCCCAAAAAAATGATAAAAATTTTTTAATGATGTAGATTACAAAAAAATGTGATTTTATAAAAATAAAATTGGCAACACTGCACACACCTAATATGTGAATACCTGAAAAGAGAGGGTGAGGGCTTGTAGCTGCTAAGATAAGGCTGATTTGGGCAAATGAAATACCTTCTAAGAAAAGTGAGGGCGGGTGGGCGGGGCTAGTACCTGTTATGATGTAATTGATTTTGGCAAATGACATACCTTCCAAGAAAAGAGAGGGTGGGTGGGCGGGGCTAGTACTTATTAAGATAAGACTAATTTTGGCAAATGAGATATCCTGTAAGAAAATACAGGCTGGGTGGGGCTAGTATCTGCTAAGATAAGACTGATTTTGGCAAGTGAAATATCCTGTAAGAAAAGAGCGGGTGGGTGGGCGGGGCTAGTACCTGCTATGATAAGTTTCCGGTGTCTGGGACATTTTTTTTGTGGTTACATGTTTGTCACATGAACACGACATAGGACAACTATATAAATTTTTCATGACTGTTTTTTTTAACGTTAATAAAACCCAGTTGCCAGCATAATATACAATTTATATTAATAAAAGTGAAACCGTACAAACTATCACTTAAAAAATCATAAATAATCTGACAGAGATTCACAACACAGTCAAAAAATATTCAACCTACAATCCGAGAGACCCAGCTTTGGTATTAATTCCAAGAAATGCGAATATACATACATATTAAAAAATAAGTCTTATTTTGTACCTTAAGATTAGTGAGTGTGATGCTCGGCACAAGCCAGAAAAGTGAGTGCGCACGCGACAACCTACGTGAACAAGGGCAAATTATGAAAATGGTAACCCCGCTTCCCCTTAGCAGCTAAATAAATATAAACCACATGGTACGCCCCCGGCACGAAACAAATGAACCCCGCCAACAGGAACACCGAGCCCTGCAGTCCCGAGTTGGGCTCGGCCAGCGATACCGTCCCCGTCGTCAGCAGCCCCACGCCGATGATGAGCAGAGTGACGGCGGCGAGGACCATCCTCCAGTTCTCCCGGACCTTGGGGTGGCGGAAACACGACCGGTCTACATAGTCTTGGCTGGAGTTGTCGTAGCAGTCTTGGATGAGCGAGTCGCTGTCTCGCGAAGTGTCGTTCGCCAGCTTGTACCCCCTGAAAGCGCAACTTTCGGTCAGGAGCCCGAGGTCGGGGCTGGAGACTCACCGGCCATTGTCGATGCGGACGTCCACCTGCGGCGAGCTGGCGCTGGGCGACCGGGGGGTCGTGGCGCCGTATACCTTGATGGCCTCGTCCGTTTCCTCCTCGAAAGCGTCGTCGATGGAGAAACGCTTGGGCTGTCGGTGGTTTGACAGCGAGAATTGGGTTGACATTTTGAGGTTAGTTGAGTTTGTGTGCTGGTTTCATTTTGAGTGGGTTTCGTTCACATCGGTGGACGGATCTGTGACTAATTGTTTTCAAGAAGTTTTTGAGAGGCCAAATTTAGAGACAAACTTGTGAATTTTAATTAGTTGTTGTGCATTGTTGCAACTGTCAAGTCGAGGTGGCGCCACAGGCGTGACAGCTGAGGGAGTGACCTTGGGGTTGGGTTAGTGTGCGGAGGGATAAGAGAGGGCGCTGACAAAGCCGAGTTGGAAAGGTGGATTTTCGGATTTTACACATTGTGGAAGGTCGGGGAAATACGAAATTACGTGGTTGTGCAATTTTGCATTTATAACAAGTAAACTGATGTTAATTTATACCTTACTTTTTTATTACATCATCACATTTGAATAATAATTCAATGTTTAATGAATCAGTTAGCATGAATTTAGAGTGATACAATCTGTCTCGTGGGGATATTTTTACCATTGTACTTTGCATCTCAACCATCAGCTTAACTAAATAGATTAGTACAGTTTTCATAACTGCGATGGTCAAAATGTTCGATAATTTAAATATTTTTAAATTTATGTAGAATTATAAATGTTAAATTTATCTTACGGAGAAATTATTACGTAAGAATTAAGAATTTATAAATACTTTAATTTAAGTATGTTAAATTTAGATACGGAGAATTTTATTTTCGGATGATTTTTTATTATTTTTGAGAAAGATTGGTAGGAAATTGAATTGAAATTCCACTGCGACGTTGCCAAGTCATTTTAATTTTCTTGAAATTTTATATTAATGAAGCCGTAAAAACATCCCTATTATTCCTATCAGGATTATTATTAAGATCTGTGTTGTAATATTTTATGAATATACAAACAACATGATGAGCTAAGTTGGAGTATAATTAAAAAGAAATTTTAATATACAGTGTTTATTAAAAAAAAAAATCTAAAATATTCCAAATCATCGATTTAAAAGTTATATTTTTTAAAAACTCTCATATTTTATATTGACGAACTTGAAAAAATGCTAGATAAAAGAAAAAAGACGAAAAAACCCTACATTGACATATTTTATTTTGTCGATTTTGAAAAACTGGTAGCAATTTTAAAAGAAATGAATCCGAAATTAGTCTCAGGAAGTGGAAATTTAGAAAAAAGTCGCTTTGTGTATTTTCGAAGATGGTCAAAAATGGTTTAAAATTTCGTAGTGTCTTTGAAAAGCTGAGCTTTTCGAAAAGTTTTCAAAAAATCTACAAAAATTCTGGCGTATAGGTCTGGAGGTGCTGCTTCGAAAAATTTAGAGCAAGATTTTCGAGATTTTCAGGACGAAATTCGAAATTTTAAAAAAATGTTCATATTTCTTGTTGGCGATTTTCTAAACACGGTAGGAATTTTCCAAGAAATGAAGCCGAAAATAACGTTTGGAGTCCGGAAACTAGAAAAATCCCTGTAGGTATTTTTTTCGAAGATGTTTGAAAAATGCTCGAAAATTTCGCAATTTTTTTGAAAAAAATTATCTAAACATTTAAAAAAAATCGGAATATAAATCTGAAGGTGCCAATTCGAAAAAAAAAATATACCGTGTTTATGGTCCCAGTGCAAGATTTTCGAAATATTCGATTTGAAAGTCAATTAAAAAAAAGAAACAACCTAAATTGACATATTTTATTTTGGTGATTTGAAAATTTGGTAACAATTGTCGAAGAAAAGAAACCGAAAATAATCTTCAGAAGTCGAAATTTAAACAATCACTTTAGATAATAACTTTATAAGATGATCTAAAATTTCGTAATTTCTGTGAAAAATTGAACTTTTAGAAAATTGTCTAAAAATTCTAAAAAATTGGAATATAGATCTGGAGGTATTTGTGGTCCCAGAACAAGATTTTCGAAATTGTCGGTATGAAATTAAAATTTTTAAAAAATTTTGAAAATTGGCATATGTATTTCATTTTGGCGATTTTTAAGAACTGACAGGAATTTTTGGAGGAATGAAGCGGAAAATCATATCAGGACGTTAAAATTTAGAGAAAACATCGCGTTGGGTAATTTTCGAAAATCGCCGAAAATTTTGTAATTTCTCTGAAAAACTGGATTTTTGGAAAAGTTGTCAAAAATCCACAAAAATTCTGGCGTATATGTAGGAGGTGGAGGTGCTGATTCGAGAAATATAGTGTGTTTACGATATCAAAACAAGATTTTTGAAATATTCAATATGAAAATCAAATTTTTTAAAAATTCTTAAAATCATATTTCTTCTTGGTGATTTTGTAAACAGAGTAGGATTTTTCGAAGAAATGAAGCCGAAAATAGCTTTTAGAAGTCGGAATCTACAAAAAAGTCCCTGCTTTCAAGATGTTGAAAGACTGTCCAAAATTTCGTAATTTCTATGAAAAATTGAACTTTTGGAAAGTAGCCTAAAAATCGAAAAAAAAAAACAGAATATAATATAAATCTGGAGGCGTTGATTAGAAAAATGTAGTGTCTTTATGGTACTAGAGTAAGATTTTTGAAACTCAGGAAGTCGAAATTAGAAAAAAATGCGTTAGATAATTTTCGAAAATGGCCGAAAATGTAATAATTTATAAAAAAATGATATTTTTAGAAAAGTTGTCAAAAAATTCAGAAAGATTTTGGCGTATAGATCTGGAACTGTTAATTCGAAAAATATTGGGTATTTGTGGTCCCGGAGCAGGATTTTCGTGTGAAAGACAAATTTTTTAAAAATTTTGAAAATTGGCATATTTCTTTTTGGCGATTTTGAAGAACTGGCAGGAATTTTCGAAGAAATGAAGCCGAAAATCATCTCAGGAAGTTGTAATTTAGAAAAAAATCGCTTTGGGTAATTTTCGAAGATGGTTGAGAATTTCGTAATTTTTTTGAAAAACTGAACTTTTGGAAAAGTTGTCAAAAATCCACAAAAATTCTGACATATAGATCTGGAGGTGCTAATTCGAGAAATGTAGTGTATTTATGATATCAAAGCAAGATTTTCGAAATATTCAGCATGACAATCGAATTTTTGAAAAATTAAAAGAATCGCTATAGATATTTCTCGTTGGCGATTTTGTAAACAGAATTTTTCGTAGAAATTAAACCGAAAATAGGATTTAGAAGTCCGAATCTACAAAAAAGTTCCTGTTGGTACTTTTGTTAAGATTTTGAAAAATTGTTGAAAATTTCGCAATTTCTATTAGTTTGTTTATATCGTAGATTTCGATCCGATCGAATTTCGAGACGATCGAAGTCGTCAAACCCACTTTAATCTACGGGCGTTTATATCACGGAAAACAGTCCGTTCGATCCACTGATTTGTAGTTTGAAATTGGTTTGAGTTTGACGTTTGGAGAAAGATAATAGTATAACATTATTTCTTTTTATCTGTGCAGTGGTCAACATAAATAATAAACCTATAAAAGTTCAAGCCCGTTTACATCGCATCTTCAAGCATTTGAATCCGTTTTAGATCCGATCGGTTCGATTCGATCCGACTAGTTTGTCGGATCGAATTTTGATAGTCAATCCGCTTCAACATTCGATCTGCAGCGTTTATACCATTAGTTTCAATCGGATCGGACTGAGTCGATCGGCTCGAAATCCACGATATAAACTAAGTATATGACAAATTGAACTATTGGAAAGTAGCCTAAAAATAAAAAAAAAATCGAAATTTAATATAGTAAATCTGGAGGCTCTGATTTGAAAAATCTAGCGTCTTTATGGTACTAGAGCAAGATTTTCGAAACTCAGGAAGAGGAAATTTAGAAAAAAATGCGTTGGATAATTTTGGAAAATAGTCGAAAAATGGTCGAAAATGTAATAATTTCTTAAAAAATTAAATTTTTAGAAAAGTTGTCAAAAAATTCACAAAAATTTTGGTCTATAAATCTGGAGGTGCCAGTTCGAAAAATATAGCGTGTTTATGATACCCGAGCAAGATTATCGAAATATTCAGTATGAAAATTAGAATTTTAAAAAATTCTAAAAACCCTCATATTTCTTGTTGGCGTTTTTGTAAACATTGTAGGAATTTTCGAAGAAATAAAGCCGAAAATAATCGGGGGAAGTCGAAATTAAAGAAAATCGCTTTAGGTAATTTTAGAAGGCAGTTGAAAAATGGTCGAAAATTTCTTATTTGTTTTTTGAAAAATAGAACTTTTGGAAAAGTTGTCAAAAATCCACAAAAATTGTGGCACCAGGTTAAGATTTCCAAAATATTGACTATAAAAATCGAATTGAAAAAAAAAAATAAATAAAAATTTCCATATTTCTTGTTGGCGATTTTGTAATCACGAGAGGAATTTTTAAAACTGACATATTTCATTGTGGCGATTTTGAAGCACTGGCAGGAATTTTTGAAGAAATGAAGTCGAAAATCATCTCAGGAAGTTGAAATTTAGAAACACATCGCTTGGGTAATTTTCGAAGATGATAGAAAAATGGTCGAAGATTTCGTAGTTTTGTTTTTGAAAAACGGAACTTTTGGAAAAGTTGTCAAAAAATCAAAAAAGATTCTAGAAGTACTGATACCAAAAATATAGTCTGTTTATGATACCAAGGCAAGATTTTCGGAATATTCAGCATGAAAATAGAATATTTGAAAAATTCTAAAAATCGCGAATTTTTTTGTTGGCGATTTTACCAACATGGCAGGAATTTCGAAGAAATGAAGCTGAAAATAATCTCGGGAAGTCGAAATTAAAAAAAATTGCTTTAGGTAATTTTCGGAGACGGTTAAAAAATGGTCGAAAATTTTGTATTTTTTTGAAAAATACATAGAACTTTTGAAAAAGTTGTCTAAAATCCAGAAACATTGTGACATATAGATCTGGAGGTATTTATTCGAAAAATGTAGCGATTTTATGAAACTAGAGCAAAATTTTCGAAATAGTCGATTTTAAAGTTAAATAAAAAAAATATTTAGAACGAAAATCGGATTTTTAAAAAAATGTAAAAAATTTCCATATTTCTTGCTGACGATTTGTTGTAACATTTTCGAAGAAATAAGGTCGAAAATAGCTTCTGGAGGTAAAAGTCTATACAAAAAATCCCCCTAGGTATTGATTTTCGGAGATGGTTGAAAAATGGTCGAAAATTTCGCAATTTCTTTGAAAACTTGAACTTTTAGAAAGTTGTCTAAAAGTAAAAAAAGCGGAATATAGATCTGAAGGTGTTGATTTGAAAAATATAGGTTGTTTGTGATGCGGGAGCAAAAGTTCAAATTTTTTAAAAATTTCGAAATTGAAAAACTGAAAGGAGTTTTCGAAGAAATAAAGTCGAAAATATTCTCTGGACATAGTAAAAAAAATCTCTCTGGGTAATTGAAGAAGATGGTAAAAAACGACTGAAAATTTCGTAATTTCTCTGAAAAATATAAGTTTTTAAAAATTGTCTAGAAATCCAAAAAAATCTGGGTTATAGGTCTGAAGGTGCTGATTCGAAGAATATACCGTGTTTATGGTAACAGAACAAGATTTTCGAAATATTTAGGATGAAAACTGAATTTAAAAAAAAAATTGAAAATTGCCATTATTTTTTTATCGATTTTGTAAACATGGCGGGAAGTCTCGAAGAAATATAGCCGAAAATAGCTTCTGGAGTTAGGAATCTAGAAAAAAATTCCTGTATGTATTTCTTTCCGAAGATGGTTGAAAATTTTGTAATTTCCTTGAAAAATTGGACTTTTGAAAAGTTGTCTAAAATAAAAATCCAAAAAAAAAAAATGGGAATACAGATCTGGCGGTATTGATTTGAAAAATATAGGATGTGGTCCCGGAGAAACATTTTCGAAATAGTCGGTTTGAAAGTCAAATTTTTTAAAAAATTTGAAAATTGCTATATTTCGTTTTGGCGTTTCTAAAGAACTCGTAAGAATTTTCGAAGAAATGAAGCCGAAAATAATCTTTGGGGATAGAAATCTATAAAAAATCCCTTAGGTAATTATTGAAGATGGTAAAAAAATGCTTAAAAATTTCCTAATTTCTTTGAAAAATTGAACTTTTGAAAAAGTTGTCTAAAAATCCACAAAAATTCTGCGATACAGATCTAGACGTGTGGGTCCAAAAAATATAGCGTGCTTGTGCCACCAGATCGAAATTTTCGAAATATTCTACTTACTTACTTAATTACTGGCAATTCTGGGCGGCGTATTGAAACATTTAACTTAGAAAAGTTGACCAAAAATCCATAAAAAAATTCTGAGACATTCAAAGTCAATTTTTTCGAAAATCTTGAAATTTGCCGTATTTTGTTTAGTTAGACTGGGTAAATAAATTCATAATTTGCTTTATTACGTCTACGAATTCATTTTTATGACTTCAGATTTGAATAATTAAAAATTTTTGACGGGTTATTACAAAAAAAAAAAAAAATGGTGCGGCCAAATTTTGCAATTTGTTGTCTTTAACGGAATGGACAGGTTTAATTGATTGTATACTTCAGTAGCGAAGAAACTCGTCTAAATAACTCCGCACCCATTTTTACGCAAAGTATTATCAACAACATCGCAATCACTAACTAAATCGTCATTATTTATTATCATTCAATCAAGAAATCCCCCACACTTATAAGGTCATAATCATAACTGACTCCTATATATACATTAAAAAAAAAATTTAAACAAGTTTGCCGCGCCCCGCTACAAGCGCGTCAGAGGTTTTTACCAACAACCTGATGCTCTCTTATAAACTGAAAGGATAAGATATTGAACAAGTACTGAAGCAACAGACTTCACAACATCATCATCACCATAAACATGAAAGTGACTCTTGTTATCGTCGCTCTGCTGGCGCTTGTTGCGATTGCTTGGGGACAAGAACGTACGTTAGCTTGTTTTGCCTTTTTGCTATTACTTATTATTTACCATTGTTTTAGCCGAGTGTGGTCCCAACATGGTTTTTTCAAAATGTGGTGCTCTCTGCGAACCAAAGTGTTCTTACAAACGACCTGCCGGATTTTGCAAACTGCAGTGTAGGGCTAAATGCGTTTGCATTTCAGGATATATACTTGACGACCATGAACGGTGTGTTCCTATTGAATCATGCTAAATGGATTTTGTTTTATTATTCACTGAACACTGTTATTAGTAGAGAAATTTGTATGATTATCTTAGTAATAATAATAATTAATAAATTAGAAAACAAATAAATGAGGTATTATTTTTAACACAAGCAGATTGTTCATTTATTAACAACTTTAAAATTAACGCCCTGTTTATTACACTTTTTCAATATGTCCTAAACACCCATTTTGGTACGAATGTTCACTTTTTGATTGAATTACTCGTTAGTGACGCTATTTAAATGTCATTTTCGTTACAAACCTACCAATTAAAATTTTGTTGTAATGTAATTTAAAATGACATTTAAATAGAGTCGCTAACGAGTAATTTAACCAAAAAGTGAAATTTCTTACCAAGAAGGGCGTTTAGGACATACTGAGAAAGTGTAATAAACAGGGAAGCGATTAGGGATAAGTGGTAATTTTTCGACAGTTTATACATTTTTTGATAACTTTTTCAAAAATCAGAGATTTTTTTCTAGATTCTGACCTCCAAGTTATTTCCAGCTTCATTGCTTCGAAAATTCATTTTTACAAAGTAGCAAAATTTTTATTTTTTTTTTTAATTCGATTTTCATACTCAATATTTAGAAAATCTTGCTCTGGTGCCATAAACACGCCATATTTATCAGTTTTTCAAAATCGCCAAAATAAAATGGGCATGCCAATTTTCAAATTTTTTTTAAAATTGACTTTCACACCGACTATTTTGAACATCTTGCTCCGCGACTACAAATACTCTATATTTTTCAAATCAACACTTTCAGATCTATATTCCGATTTTTTTAAATTTTCGACAACTTACCAAAAGTTCAAGTTTTCAAAGAAATTTGGGATAATTTTTCGACCATCATCGAAAATTCTCAAAATAAATTTTTTGCAAATTTCTATCTCCTGAGATTACTTTCGGCTTTATTTCTAATGAAACAAGGCAGTTTTCAAGATTTAAAAAAAATCGAGGGTTTTTTTAGATTTCTATCTCCAGAGGTTATTTTCGGCTTCATTTCTTCGAAAATTCCTACAAATTCTTCGACATCGCCAAAATGAAATATGTCCAATTTAAATTTCACACTGACTATTTTGAAAATATTGTTTACACTCCGTTTTTTTATTTTCCTTTCTAAAAGTTTTTAGAGAAATTTGGAAATTTTCGACCATTTTTCAACTATTTTCGAAAATAAATACCTACGGGAATTTTTTTATGTAGACTCCGATCTCCAGAAGCTACGTATTTTCGGCCTTATTTCTTTGAAAATTCCTGCCATGTTTACAAAAGTGCCACCAAGAAATATGGCAATTTTTAGATTTTTTTTTAAATCCGATTTTCGTCCTGAAGATTTCAATTTTTCAACGAAATTACGAAATTTTCGATCACCTTCGGAAATTACCTAAAGCAATTTTTTGTTTAAATTTCGACTTTCCGCGATTATTTTGGGCTTCATTTTTTCGAAAATTCCTACTAATTTTTTAGAATTGCCAAAATGAAATATGTCAATTTGTTGTTTTTTTAAATTTGATTTTCAAATGGACTATTTCGAAAATGTTGCACTAGTAGCATAAACACGGTATAGCACCTCAAAATCTAAATTCCGGATTTTTTTTGGATTTTTCGACAACTTTTCCGAAAATTAAGTTTCTCAAAAGAATACTAAAGTTTCTATCATGTTTACAAAATCGCCATAAAGAAATATGGCAATTTTTAGAATATTTCAAAATTCGATTTTCCATTGTATATTTCGAAAATCTTGCCCTGATGTCATAAACATGCTATATTTTTAGAAGCAGCACCTCCAGATCTAGATGAGAGAATTTTTGTGGATTTTTTCATAACTTTTCCAAAATTTCAAAATTGTTAAATTTTCGACCATTTTTGGCCATGTTCCTAAAATTGCTCAAAGTGATTTTTCTAACTTTAGACCTTCTGAGATTATTTTCGGCTTCATTTCTTCGAATATTCCTAATATCTTTACAAAATCGTCAAAAAGAAATATGGGGATCTTTGGATTTTTTTTAATTCGATTTTTATACTTAATAATTTGAGAATCTTGCTCCTGAACCACAAACACGCTATATTTTTCGAATCAGCTCGTTTAACTCTGTGTATATCCCACATTTTTTTAATGCATTTTTGGTTAACTTTTTCAAAAGTTAAATTTTCCCCTTTACGAAAATTTCGACAATTTTCCGAAGCATGTTTACAGAATCACCACTAGTAAGGGAATGTGTCAACTTTTCGATTTTTTTAAAAACCGAGTTTACAAACTGAATATTTCGAAAATCTTGCGCTGGTGTCATTTTTGCAACTTTTCCAAAAGTTCAATTTTTCAAAGAAATTACGAAATTTTCAACCGTTTTTTACCATCTTCGACAATTACCTGAGTGATTTTTTTTTGGATTTTTATCACAAACTAACACTCAAAAACTTATTATTTTCGGCTTCATGTCTTCCAAAATTCCTATCAGTTCTTCAAAATCGCCAAAACGAAATCTGCCAATTTTTTCAAAATTAAAAAAAATGACTTTCACACAGACTATTTTGAAAATCTTGCTTTGGGACAAAAAACATCCTATGTTTTTCAAATCAGCGTCTCCAAATCTGTACTCCGATTTTTTTCCTTTTGATTTTTAGACAACTTTCTAAAAGTACGATTTTTCAAAGAAATTACGAAATTTTTGGATTTTTTTAATAACTCAATTTTTATATTGAATATTTTGAAAATCTTGCAAATGGACCACAAACACGCTGTATTACTTTTCAAATCAGCTCGTTCAAATCTGTGTAAATTCCAGATTTTTTATAGGTTTTTGGTTAACTTTTCCAAAAATTAAATTTTCCCCTTTACACAAATTTCAACAATTTTCCGAAGCATGTTTACAGAATCACCACTAGTAAGGGAATGTGTCAACCTTCCGATTTTTTTTAAAACTGAGTTTTCACCCTGAATATTTCGAAAATCTTGCACTGGTGCCATTTTTGCAACTTTTCCAAAAGTTCCATTTTTCAAAGACATTACGAAATTTTCAACCGTTTTTTACCGTCTTCGGCAATTACGTGAGGATTTTTTTTTAGATTTCTATCACTAAATATATTAGTTTCGACTTCATTTCTTCGAAAATTACCACCAATTTATCAGAAGTGCCAAAATGAAATATGTCAATTTAGGTTGCTTTTTTTTTTTTTAATTTTACTTTCAAATCGACCATTTTGAAAATCTTGATTTGGCTTCATTTTTGGTACCGGAATTTTATTGGATTTTTATACAACTTTTCCAAACGTTCAATTTTTCCAAGAAATACTTACGAAATTTAGACTCCTAGCTATTTTCCGCTTTATTTCTTCGAAAATTCCTGCCATGTTTACAAAACAGCCAACAAGAAATATAGCAATTTTTAGATTTTTTTTTAACAAGATTTTTCGAATCAGCACCTGCAGATCTATAGGCCAGAATTTTTGTGGATTTTATGATATCTTTCCAAAAATTCAATTTGTCAAAGAAATTACGCATTTTTCGAAAATTACTTACAGAGGTTTTTTTTAATTTCGACTTTCGGAGATTATTTTCGGCTTCCATTTCTTCGAAAATTCCCAGTCTTTCAGAATCGCCAAAATAAAATATGTCAATTTTGTTTTTTTTTTAATTTGACTTTAAAATCGACTATTTCGAAAATCTTGCACTGGTATCATAAGCAAATTTCGATTTTTTAACGAAATTAGGAAATTTTCGATAATTTTTCAATCATCTTCGAAAAAAGAATACCGACAGAGATGTTTTTCAAGATTCCGACCTCCAAAAGTTATTTCTGGCTTCATTTCTTCGAAAATTCATGTTTAAAAAGTAGCAAAATTTTTATTTTTTTTTTAAATTCGATTTTCATGCTCAATATTTCGAAAATCTTGCTCTGGTACCATAAACACGCCATATTTATCAGTTTTTCAAAATCGCCAAAATAAAATGGGCATGCCAATTTTCAAATTTTTTTTAGAAATTGACTTTCACAACGACTATTTTGAAAATCTTGCTGCCCGACTAAAAACACTAATTTTTCAAATGAACACTTTCATATGTAGATTCCGATTTTTTTTTAATTTTTGACAACTTTCCAAAAGTTCAAGTTTTCAAAGAAATTTTGGATCATTTTTCGACCATCATCGAAAATTATCAAAATAAATTGTTTGCACATTTTTATCTCCTGAGATTACTTTCGGCTTTATTTCTAATGGAACAAGGCAATTTTCAAGATTTAAAAAAAAATCGAGGGATTTTTTAGATTTCTATCTCCAGGGATTATTTTCGGCTTCATTTCTTCGAAAATTCCTACCAATTTTTCGAAATCGACAAAATGAACTATGTCCAATTTGAAATTTTTTAAAAAATTTGACTTTCACGCTGACTATTTTGAAAATTTTGTTTATACTCCGATATATTATTTTACTTTATAAAAGTTTTCAGAGAAATTTGGAAATTTTCGACCATTTTTCAACTATTTTCGAAAATAAATACCTACGGGATTTTTTTATGTAGACTCCGACCTCCAGAGGCTACGTATTTTCGGCGTTATTTCTTTGAAAATTCCTGGCAATTTTTATATATTTTTTTAAATCCCATTTTCGTCCTGAATATTTCGAAAATCTGACTCTGGTATCATAAAGCGCTATATTTTTCGAATCAGCACCTGCAGATCTATTTTTTGGAATCTTTCCGAAAATTCAATTTTTCAAAAGATTACGAAATTTTCGATCACCTTCGGAAATTACCTAAAGCAATTGTTTGTTTAAATTTCGACTTCGACAATTTTTCAGATTTGCCAAAATAAAATATGTCAGTCTATGTTGTTTTTTTTTATTTTCAAATCGACTATTTCGAAATTCTTGCACTAGTACCATAAACACGGTATAGCACCTCCAAATCTAAGTTCCCGATTTTTTTTTGGGTTTTTCGACAATTTTTTCGAAAATTAAGTTTTTCAAAAAAATACGAAACTTTCTTACCATGTTTACAAAATCGCCAATAAGAAATATGGCAATTTTTAGAAGTTTTCAAAAATTCGATTTTCAATTGTATATTTCGAAAATTTTGCTCTGGTGTCATAAACACGCTATATTTTTAGA